TGTGCGACAGCGCGGGGAAGAGTTCACCCCGGCCGAGCTTGAGTATCAGAAGGAGGTCCGTGCAAAGGATCCCGATGGCGTGGAGATTGTCGTGACCAAGGAGGACCCCCTTGCAGGCTTGAACAAGTTGCTGAAGGCGCTCGAGGGCATCAACGGCAAGAGTGCTTTGGATAAGAAGGGAGAGCTGCGAAAGCTCTTCTACACAGAGCTCAGCAGGAAGCCGGGCGAGAGGCCAGCTGACTTTATGTCGAGATTTCGCTTCCTGGCCGCTGAGCTGAAGAGTGAAGGAATAGCCCTCCCTAGTTCCGAGTTGGGCTGGTTTCTGAAAGAAAAACTGGGGCTGGATCCGTTGAGGAAACAGTTGCTGGAGACGGCTTTGCAGGGCCGGGAAGGCTTCGAGGATGTCGAGGCTGAAGCCCTGCGGCTTTTCAAAGACCTTCACGCCGCAGACCCCTTGATGAGACGAGCGGGAGCCCCTGACCTCAGAGGCCGCGGCCGTAGCTTTGGCGGCTTTGGCGGCACACCGTCCTCTTCGACCACCTTCTCCGTGTACCGTGGCTCTGGAGCATTAAGTTCTGTGTCGGGCCGTTCTTCAGGCAGCGTGACGCCAGCGCCGAAAGGCGGCGGCAAGGCAGGCTCGTTTGCGCCGAGGCGGCCGTTTCTTGGATATCGGTCGCGGCAAGCCTTTGCAGCCGAGCAGCTTGGCGAGACTGAGGGCGAGCCGGGCGAGGAGGCTGAGGATGAAGAGCTTGTTCCCGAGGAGGAGGGCAACGGCGTCTCCTTGGACGATGTGCTTGAGGCTGAGGCCGAGGCCTTGGCGACGGAGCTGGAGCAGGCTGAGGCCGAAGGACTGGAGCCGCAAGTGCTAGACGAAGTGGAAGGAACGGTCGAGTCTGCTGCCGAAGCTCTCTTGACTATGCGCGAAGCGCGCCACAAGCTTCAGGATCTGCGCAAGGGCCGCGGGTTCGGCAAGGCTACTTCGGCACCCTCGTCACCGCAGTCCGGGAGGCCTGGCTTCAAGAAGCGTGGGGTTTGCCACGATTGTGGCCAGCCAGGCCATTGGGCTGGCGACCAAGGCTGCTCAAAGCCGGGCGCTGGCCTGGCTCGACCCAAGTCTTCGGCGAGGCCGGGGGCAACACCCTCGCAGAGTTCCCCGTCGCATCGTCGGGTCCAGTTGGTCGAGTCCTTTGCGGCCGAGGCGACGCAGGAGCAGCGTGAAGACCCCGCAGTCTACCATGAGACCGCTGTCGTTTCGTCTTGGAGTTCCTTTGCAGAGGCGCTTGAAGCAAGCCAGCCGCATGAGACGCAGAGCGCTTTGGCCGTGGACAAAAGACTTGTGGGGGCGCTGTGTGGCCGTCGCTGGCTGGAGGGCTACTTGCAAGCTCTTGCTCGTTCTCCCTTGTGGCAGGCCTTGCAGCCCCTTGTGAAGACGGAGGTCGAGCGGGAGAACTTTAAGTTCGGGAATGACGGAGTGAAGGCAAGCTACTCACGACATCGGCTTCCCATGGTTGTTGGCAGTTCCTGCGTGTTAGTTTGGACCAGTGTTGTCGAGGTCGAGTCTTTGGGCCTCCTCCTTGGAAGGGACTTCTTGGAGGCCATCGGAGGAGTGATCAGCTTTACTAGAAGGGCTTTGCGAGCGGATCATCTTGATGCTTCTCGAATTCCGCTTCGGCAACTCTCGGCAGGTCACTTCTTCCTCGACATCTTCCCGGAGACCTGGAGCACCTCGGCGAGACCGTGGCGACGCGAAGGCCAGGACGGGATACTGGAGGTTCAGCTTAGCTCGTTCGAGTGGAGCCTTCGCCGTGCAGCAGCAGTTAAGGGCCCCCCTGTGAATGGTCGTGAGCATGAACAACTAGCGGTTGAGCAAGCACGGGGCCCACATGCTGGCCACAGTGGTTCGAGAGTTTCAAATTCGATGACCAAGCCGGTACTGACTGCGCCTCTCCATGTTGCGGCTAGACACAAGCAGGGCGGGCCGTGTGGCCGGGCGGTTCCGAAGGATGTGTTTGCGCCTCCTCGAAAGAAACGTGTGGCACTTCGCTGGGCTACTGCTTTGGTTGCTGCAGCGGCCCTTGCTTCGGTACGTGCCCCTGCCGTGCAGCAACATCCGGTCCCCATCGGCCTGGAAGGAGCAAGCCGAAGCCATGGTGCGGAGTGGAGCCCTGCCACGGCGGCATTTTCGTGCAGCTGCCCTCGAGAACAAGTTCGAGGACCTGGGGTTGCTCAAGGACGCGGGCTACTTGAGGGACAGGATGGGCGTCAATCTGGAAGATCCCATGTTGGATGGAATGCTGGCAGCTCGCCACACCAAAGGAGTTCGAGCCGCGATCCACAGCCAGCTGGTGGACAAGTTGAAAGCCGAGGCGATCGCGAAAAAGACCAAAGCCGAGCAGCTGACCGCTGCGCGGGCCTTGCTGGGTCCCAAGGGTGGTTTGCCTACCTTGAAACAGGACCTCATCCGTCTGGCCGCGTTGCTGCATGTGGAGGTGAACGACAACGACACCGTAGAGAAGCTCAAAACAAAGTTGCGCCCGACTCTCGACGCGCTTCGGGGCATTCCGCTTCCGTCGGCTCAGGTGGCTGCATCCTCGGCGACCCCGGCGGCGGCTTCAGCAGAACTTCCTGTACCACGCTGCGAACCCGAAGGGCAACTACAGCCGACGATCGAGCACCGGACGGCCGGACCGATGCAGCCGCCGACCCCTTCACAAGACGAGATCCTCCAGCAGGTGAGTGCAATGGTCGAGGCCCGTATGCAAGACCGCGACAGCCGGTTCGAAGCCATGCTGCACCAGACGATGCAGCACATGATGATGATGTCGAGCAGCAGCGGCAGCCGGCCACTGGATGGGGAAGGTGGCCTGTCACCGGACAGCGACATGGGCTTCCAGCAGATGACGAACGAAAACGAGCTGTAATTCCTCCTCTTCGGCAACAACTGAAGACGGGACAACGGCTGCTGATATCCCAGGCCTGGAACAAGTGCAAGCATGATCGCAATCTTCTCAAGGTGAGCCCGCAAAACATCTATGAGGCCTTTGCAGTGCTGCAGGACCAGATTTATGACAATGCTCTCCACGAGCCCTTCATCGACATGGCGTTCGTGCCTCACCCTCATGACCGGGCCCCTTTGGCCCCTGACTTGGTCAAGTTGGCGGCAGCTCGTGGGCACGCTGTGGGCCAGCTGCAGGCCGATCTATGTGTGAAGCCGTACTTTCTGATGTTGCGGGCGACGGGCAGATCGCCCCTCCTGAACTACGCCCCTGAACGGACCAGACTCGCCGCTGAAAAGAAAATTTTGGATGCCGAGGCGTCTGTGATGCATGCAGCCCTGGCACATCGGCGGTCTGGACGGCACTTCTTGATGGAGCTTCTTCGCGGAGCCGACCCGCGTCGTACACTGGAGGGCCGGGAGCTGATGGATGAGGCGGGCCTTTTCGACTTTTCCCGAGAAGGTCGGCGCTATTTGACATCGAGCCGGGTCGTGGCAGATGCTTTTCGGGACCAGCGTGACGAAAACCTTGTGGAAGCAGTGCTGGAGGCGGTCCAGCAACAGTTTGACAAGGACCTCGGCCCCGAGAAGGTGACTGAGACCCTGGCAGCAGAGACGGCTGTGGACGATGACGATTTGCTTGACGGCCTGGGTGGCGCAATGGAGTCTGAGGACGAGGCGCTCGAACCGAGCCAGGACCCCGAAAAGGAGGTGCCAATCCCTGCTTCTGTGAGGCAGGCTGTGAGGCGACTGCATGAGAACACGGGCCACAGGAGCCCTTTGCGCTTGGCAAGAGCGCTAGTCATCGCAGGCGCCCCCCCGCAGGCCGTAATAGCAGCCAAGCAACTTCGATGCAGTGTGTGCGAGGAGAGGCGGCCCCCCAAGTCCCGTCGCCCTGCCTCGTTGCCGGGCCCACGCGAGCCAGGTGAACAAGTGGCCCTGGACATCTTCGATGCATTCGATGCTGCGGGCGCCAGGTACTCTGTTTTGCATGCCGTGGACGGTGCTACAAAGTTCCAAATGGCCGTGCTGGTGAAAAACAAGTCCAGCGCCGAGGTGGTGAAGTTCATACGGGAGCGTTGGGCGCCGGTCTTCGGCATGCCCCGGACCTTGGTGTGCGATCAGGGGCGGGAATTCATAAGCATCGAGCTGGAGAACTTCGCCCATCAGAGCAACATCTTCATGTATCACACAGCCATTCAGGCCCCTTGGCAGAATGCCTTGTGCGAGAGAGTTGGGGGGTTGCTGAAGACGTTGCTTAGTGCGTGTGCTATGGCCCAGTCGCTGATGGGCCCCGATGAGATGGCATTGGGACTGGGCGAGGCAGTGCAGGCCTACAATATGGATGTAGGAGACGATAATTTTCTGCTTGCAGACTTTTCTTTCAACCAAATAAATTGTACAGCCCTAATGAGGTTAGGGCGTAGGAGAAGTGACTGAGTTTCTGGAGCATCTTGGTGTTCCATGTCTGTTTATTTTGGGCTGTTCGAATCTTTTAACAAAGTGCTCATCGTTTCTTTGGGAAGAAATTTCATGATTGAAACTTTCTTGATCCCAAGAGTGATGCGCTTGCTGTGGTTCAAGTTTTGCTGAGCACTTGGAATTTTTGACCCGATCTTCGCTGTGGAGGAAAAAAAAAAAGTGCACGCCGTCTGCCTGGGAGCAGTCGGCAGATGGATGCCCGTTTGACGCAAGCCCAGATTTCCGAGCTCCAGCGTCAGGTCGCGGATCTCCAGCAGTGCAGGTTTCAGGTTGCCGCTTTGCACTCAGACGTGATAGGTCTTCGTGAGCAGTGCGATCGTTTGCAGGATCGTGTTGCACAGTTGGAGTCGGCTGACCGAGCCGTCCTGCATCGCTTGCAGCCCCGCCATCCCATTGGCAGTTCTGGAGGTGAGGTGCTCACTGAACGCGTGTTGCACTTAGGCCAGTGTTTTCAGTTTCTGATCGTGCAGCTGGGCCGCACCTTTCCTGCGACGCTTTGGCAATCGCTAGAGGAAGACTAGCCATGTCTTCCCCTCCTTGTCCTGCCTCGTCTGCGCCTCCTTCTCTCCAGCAGCCGGTTGAGGGGGTGTGTTCGGGGCTTCTGGACAGCGAGAAGGAAGACTTGCCTGCCGTTCAGAGTGAGGGATCGTGTTCGGGGTTCTCATTTCCACCCGTGTCCCCGTTGGGTTTTGATGAATCCTTGGCTACCATTCTTCAGGGTGAGGAATTGGGCTCGGAGTTCCCATTTCCGCCCGTGCCCCCGCCCTTTTGGTATGGTCCAGATCTAGCAGAGGAGACTGAGCCTTGCTTTGACTCTTGGAGCCTTTTACAACAGGTCAGGGATGTCGAATCTGAGGGGAGTCCTTCACGACGTTTTGAGCCACCGTCGCCTTCTTACTTGCCTTCTGAAGAGGAAGATAACGAACGAGCGGGAAGCGAGAAACGTTGGTACTCTCCTATTGCTGTGTCGGAGGCTGATGAGGAGACAGCAGCCGCTGTGCCGTCGCCTCCGATGAGCACCGACACCCATCAGTTGAATCTTGCTTCAAGTGCTTATGCTGACGTGCAGGCGCGCCAACAGGCCATGGTTGACTTGAACAAACGCAGGAGAACCTCTCTGGTGATGCCTTGGGAGCAAAACACCATTCCCCTGTTCCGTGCCCTGGAGGCTAGGGCGAACTTCGTTCCCTCAGTGGGCCTGCGTGAGTCTGTCTCCTTCACAGAACCAGAACCCAAAGCACCTGATACTGCAGCAAATATACCTTGGACTGTGCATCATCGTCTGCGTCGGGTGAGAGTGCAGCTTGGAGATGATGAGCTCCGGGCAACAGCCTTGAGGAGGCTTAAGGTATTGGTGTTGCTGGATCCCGAAGGCACCCAGCTAGGCTTGAGCCTGCTTCAACAAACGAAGGCCCTCAAGCCAGATGAGGAGCTGTGCCGAAGCTTGGCTGATGCCTTTCGAGGAAAGGCCACCACTACTCTCCAAAAGCGAGGACTGTCGCTGCAGGCATATGTGGCGCTCTATTATGAGGCTTTCTCGAATTCTCCTTGGCGAGTGACTGAAGATGAGCTGTACTCAATCTTGTGCACGTTGAGAGATGCGAATGCTAAAGCAACAACTGCCAATCACATTCTTGAGGCTTTGCGTTTCCTGGATGGCATTTGCAAGTTCTTGTACACATCGCTTGATGCAGTAATCTCGAGCAGATCGAGAGGGGTAGCCAGAGACCTCTATGTCAAGAAGAAACCTTTGCAGCAAAGAGACCCGCTGAGTTACTTGCAAGTCAAGCGCTTGGAAGACTTGATGCTTTCGGACCTGCCATACTGGTTGAAGGCCGTGGCGGGACAGATCCTCTTCTGTGTTCATGCTTGCTGCAGGTGGTCCGACAGTCAGCGTGTCAAAAGCCTGCAGATTTTGGGGGAAGGCCCGGCTGCCATCCTCTTTGCACAGGCCTTGGGGTCTAAGACCTCCTTGACTGCCGAAGCTCAGACGAAGTTTCTTCCCTACACTGCCGTAGCCCGCGGTGTCAGTGACAGCCCGTGGGCTGAAGCTTGGTTGGAGGCCCGGACGCAAGAAGGGCTCGACTTCACGGCCGGGTGTCTTCCCAGTTGGCTAGTGAGCAGATCTTGCTGGGGCAAAGTGCCCATGTCTACAGACGAAGCTGGGGATTTTCTGCTTGACCTGTTGTCCAGGGCCCAGGCACCGGCCAATCCAGCTTTATCGATCGGCACGCATAGCTGCAAAGCTACTCTTCTGACCTGGACCATGTGGTCCAATTGCGTGAGCTTCTCCGCTAAGGAACAGAGACACCTGGGACATCACTTGAAGCGAGGCCAAAGCACCCTCACCTACAGCCGTGAGTATTTTGTCACTTTGAGCGGGAAAGTTTTGGGGATGTATCGTTCCATTAGGAGCGGACGGTTCAATCCTGATGAATCTCCTTCTCAGAGGGCAGAAGCCATAGCTGACAGCTATGACCCTGATATGGCAAGGGATGAGCGGGTAGCCAACAGAGCCGAATTGGATGAGCGCTTTGTTGATTTTGAAGGCCCAGATGATGCATCCGTTTCAGCCGAGTCTTGTGCGGAGGTGCCTGATGAGAATCGCCGCCCTGCTGCGAACGTCCGTCTTCCCTTTGACTGCTCTTCAGGTCATGAGTTGAAGGTGCACAGACTGTCCAGTATCGTCCACAAGGTGCGAGAAGACGGGATGCTTGTTTGCGGCAGAGTGATTTTTAGACCGGTATCGTGATTTCTTTGCAGAAGACGAAGAAGATGCTGAGATGTGTCAGCAGTGTGCCCGGGGCCAGACGTGACGTTTTGGCCGGCACTGAAACTTGAGTCACCCGAAGGAAAAGACATGCTTCCTTGGTGATCAGTGAGTGTTTGCTTGGCCTTTCAATCGAAACTTCATGACTTGCACATGTGAGGGATACGCACGCATGCACGCATGGAATTGTATGTTGAACTTTTGTGTACGATTGTGTAGGAGTGGCATGTGCTGAGGCAAGTGGTCGGAGTTTACTGAACAGACTTCGGTGGCCACTTTGAGTCTCAGAAGCCAACGCGTGACAATACATGTAGAAGCCTGCTGTGTAGACCTGTGTTGCTAAGTGAGTAGCGAATGCCAGGGCATGTACTTTGATTCCAGGTAGTGATCTTCATCGTTGAGCTTCCCCTTTTTAACACCATGTCGTCGGCCACCCTTGACTCCGAGGCTGCCTTCAAGGATCGTTGCACCAAGATCGGCATGACCGAGGCTCTTTTGAAAAAGTTGCTCGAGAAGGGCTACAACACTTTTGGGAAGGTTGCCTTTGCTGCGGGAGCCAACCCGATGTCCTTGACAGATCAGGCAGTCGATGATTGGTTGCGCACGATCGAGGATCCTTTGCCAAGCACCTTCCAAGTAGCTGTGGTCCGGCGACTAGTGTATGAAAGCCAGAACATCAGTCTGGCCGATCTAAAGGGGCGGATTGAGCCTGGGCCTGAGGCTCAAACGCGCAAACTGCCCGTTGCTGAGAGGTTGTCCCGGCAAGAGGAGCAGCAGGGCCGTCTGACTGGCCTGCAGTTTACTCCACACAATATCCCAGGGCACGCCTGCGTGGATGAAGTTGCCGCTATGCTAGAGCAGAACTCCCTCAAGTATTGGCCCATGAACAAGTGGATCTCCAGAAGCCAAGAGATGTCCCTCAAAAAGCATGATCCGACAGTGCAGGTTGACGGCGATGGCAGTATCAAGGTTGGAGGCAAAGCTCCCGAGCTTACATGTGACACGTCCGGGCTTTATGCCCTGAGGCAAGCCTTCCACCGAAGGGCGCTTGCGTTTGACCTGGCGCAAGTCGCCACGTTTTCTGCCATGGATGCCTGGACGAACGTGTTGTTTGAGCATACGCAGCGTACCCCCCCGAAAGGGTACTCTCCGGTCAACATAGGCCAGATAGTGTCCGCCGATCGTGAGCTTTTTGTGCAGGCCTCTCACAGGTTGGAAGGGAAGCTTCAGAGCACAGTGGGCCAAGTCCGGCCTTTTGACAAGGCTCTCAAAGACCTCAGCTCTTCACCAGGAATTTTGCAATTCCTCATGCCTTTGCCTGTTGCAGCCGCTGCGCCTCCTCCGCCCAATCCAGGCAAGCGTCTTCATGATGACACTGGGGGGGGAAAAGGGACTGGTAAAAAGGGTGATAAGAAAGGGAAGCGTGAAAAGCTTCAGGTTACCATCCCTCCTGGGTGCTCGGCACGTGATGCCAAAGGTCGTCCCAATTGCTTTGGGTACAATGAGGGCAAATGGGATCTCAAGGTTTCCAAAGGGAGGTGTCCCCGAGGATACCACCAGTGTTGGAAGGTCAACTGCAATAAGAATCACCCGTTCACCGAGTGCACTACCGGCCATCAGTGAGGATGCCCGGAACCCCGGCCGCAGGTTCGGGCCGTTCAGTCCGACGGCCAAACTGATGCATGCCATCTGCATCCTGCAGAGCAATTCGCGAGCAATATCCTTCAAAGGGGTTCACCTCCCACGAGGGTGCAGCTTGAAAAGTTGTTTGATCTCCTGCCTCATGAGACTCCACCTAGGGGTTGCGGGTCAAGGGCGCTTAGTTTTGGCAGTGGAGCCTACGCCAAAGGCGGCTTGCAGGGCCTCAGGAAGGAGTGTGGAACCTTTCCTCAGGCAGCACAGCTTGTGAATCGCTTCATTGCCCATGTTTTCCCGAACCATAAGTTCACTTCACACATGTTCTTTTGTAACGCTCAGACCGACATGCACATCGATTCCCATAACTACCACAGTCCAAATGCTGTCATCGCCATCAGTTCCTTCAGCGGAGGCCATGTCTGGGTCGGCGATGACAAGGGCTCCGTCTACCGAAAGGTCAAAGATCATTGGCTTAAGGGCACTCTGCATGATGTTGCCAAAACCCCTCTGCTGTTTGATGCTTGGCGTTTGCCGCATTGCACCGAGAACTGGACTGGCCGCCGCCTCGTTCTGGTTGCCTTCAGTGTGGCCGACACGTCCCGCATGCCCGCCGATGCCCTTAAGACCCTTCTTGCTTTGGGTTTCAAACTTCCAGATCCACTCAGGTTCGGGTTACCTTCGAAGCGTACGACCCAGCCTCCTTTGCAAGCCTCATCTCCACAGCCGTGGGTGTTTGAGCTGTTTTCCGGCAGAGCCTCGCTCTCGCGGGCTTTGTGGCAAGCTGGTTTTCAGGTGCTTTCTTTGGATTCAGGAATTAACCAGGCTGCTTCACCCACGGCCAAGCTGGATCTTGCTTCCGAGGATGGGCAAAGTTTGCTCTGGGATCTGCTGAGCAAGTTCGATCCTTTTGCATTGCACCTTGGGGTTCCGTGTGGCACGGCTTCTCGCGCCCGCGAGAAGCCTCTCCCTAAGCATGCTCTGTGCGGTCGCCCAAGTCCCCAGCCTTTGCGGTCCCGTGACCACCCCTTGGGCCTACCGGGCTTGACCGGGCTCGATGCCCAACGTGTCCGTTCAGCCAATGCCTTGTACAAGTTTGCTTACAGGTTGATCTTGCACTGCGTGCGTCGCCAGATAGTCATCACGCTTGAAAATCCCATCAACTCGTACCTGTGGCAGATCCTGGAGTTGTTTGCAAGTTTGGATGGTGTCCCTTGGCCGCCTACGGAGCTGGAAGAGGTCCTCTTCCACGTGTGTTGCCACGGTGGCACGCGACCTAAGCATACCAAGCTGCTTGCCACCCGCAATGTGTGTGCATCACTGCGTGCTGCTTGCGACAACTCCCATGTGCATGAGCCCTGGGGCCTGGTCTTCTTGCGCGGTTCATCCACTTTCAGCACCGCCTCTGAAGCTGCGTACCCAGCGTTGTTGGCCAAGCGCTGGGCTGACTGCTTTGCTCGGGAAGCCACGACCCGTGGCCTTCCGTTGCAAGTGCCTACGTCATTGCATGCTGAGTCGCTTGCGTCTGTCGGCCGGCAGACCCGGAAATTCCTGCCCTTAATCCCCGAATTTTCGCGTGTTTCCTACTTGCCCGCTTCTTTTCAGCCTGATAAATCCTGCAAGATCCTTCTCTCCCATGGACAGGGGGGAGTGAGCGGGGGAGAGAAAACACAAGTCAATGCCGAGGATGGGGACAGACGGTCCAGATCTCCACCAAAACTTAAGTCTTCTGCCTCCACTTTCGGTTACCCTAGTGCCGGGGGTGCACCCGAGACCCTAGGACCCGTGGGGTGTAGTGGGGGGGATGTTAAGGTTGGATTTTGGTTGACTCCGGAGGAGCATGTCTCCAAAGCTTTGAAGCTCCAACACCCTGTGGACACAGCCAATCCAGTGTCCGATCACACCAAAGCGGTCCTCGAAGAGTATATGTCGGATGGTGCTCCAGACTTTCAGTCGCACAGAAAGCTTGCACTGTTAAAGGTCAAGCTTCTCGTGAGAACTTTGGAAGGTGAAGAGTCAAAGCTGCATGACACGTTCCCTGCTTGGTATCAGAAAGTGGTAGCGCACAAGAAAATCCTTGCTTGGAAGAAGCTTCTTGAGGATAACCACTATGACGATATGGCAGTGACGGACTTCATGCTTAAGGGATGCCCTTTAGTGGGAACCTCTGACAAGCCCCTCGCCTTTGATGCCAAAGTTGTGCCTGCCGTGATGACAGAGTCAGAGCTTCGCGCCACCGCTGAGGCGCGTAGACAGGCTATGAAGCTGTCTAAGCAGACAATGGATCAGGAACATCTGGAGCATCTGAAAGCAGCCACCCAAGAAGAAGTGACTAGAGGTTTCCTGGAAGGACCGCTGTCCGAGGAACAAGTGACTCGCGCGGTGGGCCATTCCAGTTGGTCTGCAGTGAGGCGGTTTGTGCTCGTCCAAGGGGCCGAACTCAAGCTAAGACCGATAGACGACTGCCACGAGGCCCAGCTGAATGACGCCTACTCTTCAACCATAAAGCTTAAGATGATGGACAGTGACTACGTAACCGCTCTTGCGCTGATGATCTCCCGGATGGAAGTGGCCAGGGCTAAGAAGCTGGGTGTGCCGGCCCGGCCCTGGGCCGGCAAAACCCTGGACCTCACCAAAGCCTATAAACAACTTCCGGTGTTGCCAGCTCACAGAGATTTGTGCGTAATCTATGTGAAAGGCGCAGACGGTTCAGACTGCTACTACATAGCAAACGCCCTAGTTTTCGGGGCGACTTCTGCTGTGTATTGCTTCAACCGTGTAGCCCGCAGCCTGTGGTTCTTGATGACAAAAGTCTTGAAAATTCCGTGTGGGTTTTTCTATGATGACTATCCTCTTTTCTGCCTGGAAGCCGAAGGCTCAATGCTCGACAGTCAGGTGAGTGAATTCCTCAGCCTACTGGGGTGGGATCACGCCACCAGCGGCTCCAAAGGACTTCCCTTTGACAGTGTCTTCACTGTCTTGGGCATGCAGCTGGACCTTAGCCGAATCACAGACAGCACGGTGGTGTTGGCTAACAAACCGGGCCGGCTAGAGCGCATCGTAGACAGGTTCAAGCTTGTGCAGACAAGTGGGGCGATCTCCAAGCATGAGGCGCAGGTCCTGAGAGGCTTGCTACAGTTTGCTTCGGGCTTCTTTGCAGGGCGTGGGCTACGTCAAACTTGCTGTTGGCTTGGATCCGTGATACAGGGAGTGCGATTTGGACCTTCGGAGATCAGCTCCATGGCGGAACATGCAATCAACGTTCTTGCATCTTCCACACCTCGCTTTCTTAGTGCCGGCCCAGCAGATCCTGTGCTACACTTGTACACGGACGGCTCCTGGGAGAAAGGGATTGCAGGAGTGGGAGCGGTGCTGATCGACGCCGGAACCGGAGTCGGGCGTGTGTTCCAAGGCACCGTCGACCCTTCACTCATAGGGACTTGGCTTTCTTCTGTCGGCGAGCAGTTGATTTGCGAAATCGAGCTCTATGCCCTGGTGGCAGTAAGGTACCAGCTGGGATCCTTGTTTGAAGGGAGGCGCTGCATCTATTGGATAGACAACAACGCAGCACGTGGAACCGTGATAAAGGGATGGAGTCGCAGCCCTGCTATGCACGATCTAGCGCTAAGACTGGCGGAAGCTGAGGGGCTGACCCCAGGCATGAGCTGGATTGAACGCGTCCCTTCATTTTCGAACGTGGCTGACTTCCCCTCCAGGGGGGAAGGTTCGAAGGTGCTGAAGCTGGCTGCTGCATCTTGCGTGGAGCCCTTCCCGCAGGATGATGAGTTCATTCGGTCTGTGCGTGCCTCCAAGTCGTGAAGTCGTGGGGTTTGCTCGGGACTTGAAGGGCATAGGATGCTACTTGAGTAGCTGTGGTCCTGTAGCTCTGGGGTGGACGGTGAGCGATGAACTGATCATCCGTGCTCTCCGGTGTCCGCATGAACAGCCCGCAGATTTACCCCCGATCTTCGCTGTGGAGGAAAAAGAGACCGGTGAATGAATATTGGAATGATAGCTCATATTGACGATTGAATGATGCTAATGGAATTGGATGCTTTAATAGTTTGTGCTGGGCAATACTTCTCCTATACAATTTATGAGTTGAAGATAATTTTCTGCTTGCAGACTTTTCTTTCAACCAAATAAATTGTACAGCCCTAATGAGGTTAGGGCGTAGGAGAAGTGACTGAGTTTCTGGAGCATCTTGGTGTTCCATGTCTGTTTATTTTGGGCTGTTCGAATCTTTTAACAAAGTGCTCATCGTTTCTTTGGGAAGAAATTTCATGATTGAAACTTTCTTGATCCCAAGAGTGATGCGCTTGCTGTGGTTCAAGTTTTGCTGAGCACTTGGAATTTTTGATCCCACCCCACCCACCCGGGGTTTGCTCGGGACTTGAATGGGGTTTGCTCGGGACTTGAAGGGCATAGGATGCTACTTGAGTAGCTGTGGTCCTGTAGCTCTGGGGTGGACGGTGAGCGATGAACTGATCATCCGTGCTCTCCGGTGTCCGCATGAACAGCCCGCAGATTTACCCCCGATCTTCGCTGTGGAGGAAAAAGAGACCGGTGAATGAATATTGGAATGATAGCTCATATTGACGATTGAATGATGCTAATGGAATTGGATGCTTTAATAGTTTGTGCTGGGCAATACTTCTCCTATACAATTTATGAGTTGAAAGTGGCTTTTCGCCGATGCAGGCGGCTGTGGGACGCCAGCCACTTCCTCCTGGCGATGCACTGGCTGAAGGCCGCTTGGGTGAAATCGAGGCAATGGGCCAACCAACGTTTGCTCGCTTGGTAGCAATTCGCGAAACCGCTCGCATGGCCATGCTCCGGCTGCACTTCAGCCGGGCCCTTCGCAAGGCTGAGGCGGCGAGATCGCGGAACCCTACGGTGGCAGATGCGCCCGCGGTCGGCGACCTGGTCTACTACTGGCGGGAGCAGAAGTACAACCGTCGAGGAGGCCAAGACAAACGGAAGCTGCTTTTGCGGAAGTGGCATGGGCCAGGGCTGCTCGTCGCTTTCGAGGGGAATAACTGCTATGTGACCTCGAGGGGGACTTTGACAAAGGTGGCCTTGGAACATGTTCGGCGGGCTTCTCCGATGGAACAGATCGCCACGGGTGAGTGGGAGGCTGTTCTGAAGGAAGTTGTGGAGGCTGCTGAGCGAGACCAAGAGTGGGAGCTCGTGGTCCCACAGGACGGCAGCGCTGAAGGACGTGAGCCCACAAGAGAGCAAGGCCCTAGATTCTCTTCTTCAGCATCGCCGGCAGTTTCAGCTCTGCCTGGAAGCCCTGATCTCGACGATGCGAACCTGCTGGCCGATCAGACAGCTGGTCTTCTGGAAGGCGCTGGACTCTCTTCAGAACCGCCGGCAGTTTCAGCTCTACATGGAGATGATAGTGCCCCGCAGAGTTTCCGTGACCAGCTTCAGGAAGCGATGCGGAAAGCTCGTGACCAGCGTGGCCGTGATCTACCTCCTGTGTCTCCGGGCGAGCTTGTCAGGGCCGCTGCCTCGGAGGGTGGAGCTGGGTCGCGCAGGCCATCTACCTTGTTGGGCCAAGTTGCTTCAGGTGGGTCTTCGCGTGCGCCAGGTACTCCCTTGCTGGATGTGATTCGGCGGGCTGGAGCAAATGCGGAGGAACATTCGCCTTCAGAGCCGTTTGCAGAACAGCCTGAGAACTTGTCAGGCACCAAGCGGCCGGCTGAAGTTGAGGCCGAGACTCTTAGGAGCCAGCAGGGCGACCAAGTGCCTTTTGACGCCCTGACTCTGGAGAAGGAGCTCGTGCTTGAGGCTGCCCAGGCGAAGCAAGGCAGTGTGCACCCGTTGGTTCAGCTGCAGGCCCAAGTTGCGATGGACAAGGCGGCTGGCGAGGACCTTGAAGCGAACGACCATGGCACGTGGGATGGTCGATGGCCGCTGCCCCGTCGCTCAGAGTACGAGGCTTTCGTGAAGGCGGGCTTGAAGTGGCCAACGGGAAGAGAAGCGCTGACTGTGCAGGCGGCTCGGAAGGAGTACCACTGGCGCTCCATGACCAAGGAGCAGCGAGATGCCTTTCGCGAGGCAGCCGTTGAAGCCTGGAATGTTTGGACTCGCAACGACGCCGTCGAGACCTTGAGCGAGGAGGAGACGGCCAGGACATTGGCGACCTTAAGGCAACGGGGAGAGATGCACAAGATCCTCACCCCTCGCTATGTGTTTACGGACAAAAATGATGGGCTACGAACCTCATCGAATCCGCTGCCAATCAAGGCGAGTGCGAGGCTGGTGGTGCCGGGCTATAAGGACGTGACTGCCTTTGACCTTCGCAAGGATGCGCCGACTGCTTCGCGAACTTCACAACACCTACTCTTCAGTTTGGGTTCGAGCAACTTCAAGAAAGGCTGGAGAACGGGCACTGCCGACGTCAAAAGTGCTTTTCTCAAAGGCGAGCGCTACGTGGATGGAGTTCGCGAGCTGTACTTGCAGAACATGGAGTCCAGAGACGGCAGTCCGACACTTCCGGTTGGCAGCCGCCTCAGCCGGATTGTCAAGGGGGTGTTCGGCCTGAGTGACGCTCCCCGCGAATGGTACTTGAGGTTGAAGAAGAGTGTGAAGCAAGAAAAGTGGACTCAATCCACAATGGATGCTGCGACTTTCTTCCTTTGGTCTGAAGGACCAAACCCGGAACTCCTCGGAATGATGTGCTGCCACGTCGACGACCTTCTCATCACTGGCAGCGCCGAAGCTTGGGCCTCGATAGGCCGATTGGGCGAGGAGTTGGGTTTTGGCTCCGTCGAAAAGGACAGCTTCGTCTACTGCGGAAAGAAGGTTGCCCAAGACTTGAACACAGGCGTGATCAGCGTCTCCATGGAGGCCTACGTGGACAACCTGTCCCCGATCAGGGTGGCAGCGAGCCGCCGACGAGACATGGACGCTGCTCTCACTCCGGGAGAAGCCAAGCAGCTACGAGCCTTGGTGGGATCCCTGCAGTGGCTTGTAGCACAAGTGCGGGCTGACATGGGCTTCCACCTCAGTGTGCTGCAGGCCGAGACGCCGTCCGTTGGCGTGATGATCAAAGCCAATGCTCTCGTGAAGGAGTTCAAGGCGACTAGAGATTTCATGCTGAAGTTCAGGCCAATGAACTTGGAGGGCGCCGGCATCGTAGTTGTCTCTGATGCATCCCTAGGAAATGTCACGCGTGGTGGCGCCGTTGGCGACAAGCCGCTTGAGAGAGTTTACTCTCAGAGCTGCTATTGTGTGTTGCTGGCTGAGCGCGACTTGTTGCAGGGCAGCTCTGGAAGGTTCACTCTGCTGGACTACCGCAGTCACCGTTTGCAAAGGGTGTGCCGAAGTACCTTCGCTGCCGAGCTGCTTGGAGTTGAGGAAGGCTTTGACATAGGCCAGTACTGTCGCGGCCATTGGGCTGAGGCCCTCGGCTACGACTTGGCGCACAAAGGGGTCGACTGCATCTTGGATACAATTGGCCTGGTTGTCGTGACGGATGCCAAAGACACCTTTGACAAGGGGAACTCTGATACTCCCTCGTACGGAAGCCAGAAATCGTTAGCTTTCAGCATCGCCTGGCTCCGAGGGATGCTGGCCAAGCCGAATGTCTCCCTGCGCTGGACAGAGACCAGCAACATGTTTGTAGACGCCGGCACAAAGGATATGTGCGGCGCCCACATGCGGGACACCTTGATGGCGGGCGAATGGAGCTACCGCTACAACGCGAAGTACGTGAAGCAGACGATCAAGACGAAGCCCAAGGTGCGCCCAGGACCTGAAGTAGTGAGCGGAGAGGAAGTGAGCCCGACAGATCCTGTGATGGGATTTCTTCAGGGGTTCGCCACGAAACGTGGCTGGCACCGTAAAGATGGCCTGGCCATACAGGTGGCCCACGGAGCTCGAAGTTACAGACGCCCCGAGCCCAGGTTTGAAGCAGACATGTATCCTCTCCGGACTTCGTATGCCCTTTTCCATGATCAGCAGGGTCGTGGAAGCTGGCGCATCCTTGAAAGGGATGTGCGATACGGTCGCATTTTGCGATCTCTTGACAAGGAAGCTGCAGTTCTGATCACGGTGTTCAAGACCCCAAAAGAAAAGAAGATCAATGTGAAACCACAGGCTTGTGCCGGTGGGTCTTGACCGTGTGCAGAGCTGTTCGCATCCTATCCGCGGCCTTTTAGGCCTTGATCCAGATATAGCTACTGGCAGGCAAAAGGTGAGAGCCTGTAGCAGCCCAGAGCATCAGGGTTGCTTACTTGGTTTTTAGGGTATTTGGTAGGATTTTGAATGTGCATAGGTTTCCAGGAATTTTAGATTTTAGGGGTTTTAGATTTCGTGTTTAGGATTTTAGGGATTTTGCGGGTTTTTAGGGGCTTTAAAGTTTTTTTTTTGAGTTTTTTAAGTTTTGGTTCTGGGTTGTTAGGGTTTAGGGTTGGCCCCACCCGAATCTCTTCTAAATGCCAGGCTGTGCCCATAAATCTTCGGCCTGCAGACAAAGCGACTGCGCAGCAACAAAAAGAACGTGCCTAGGCCTCACGCGGCCAAGACAAAACAAACGCGCCCCGAGCCTAGCAGACGTCTACTTTTTCTTGGAATCGCTGATTCGCTGCCAGGAGAAGCGACCGCACAGTAAAACACGCCAACTCCGGGAACAAAAACAACGCTTTGGCCGGATTGAGGTTGTTTATAGGCTTGAGGCTTTTCAGGGTTTAGGGTTTAGCGTTGAGGTAGGCTCATAGATGCAGGGTTATGGCTTCGGATCACAAGCCAAGAAGTGAGAAGAAGCCACAAGATGCCACAAGACAAGGAGAAATGAAGTCACAAGCACACCCTTCTTTCTCTGCACTGCGTGCTTTCAAGTCGTCCGCATGCCAATGGCAGGAACCTGAGGGTGAGTACGAGTTTGCCATAACTCCTGGCCCGGACGAGACAGTTGAGGCAGGATGCTAGGCCCGTAGGCTGTTGAGTGGCCATAATATGGAGGTGTCGCGACTTCTCCTGCTTTTGTATCCAGGAGATGCTGTCCTTTATGAAGGAAGAGCATTCGGCCGTGGCCTGAGAGTTACTGAATTCGAACTGTTAGGATACCCCAGAAATCCGAGTGCGTAAGGACTGGACAGACTTTGGCCTGCTCCAGTCGAAAGGCAGCCAGGGCAACCCGTGGCGAAGGGTGTGGAAGGAGTCCGAGTGGAATCAGCTTGGGGGCAGTGCTATGCAAACACAGAATGCCCTGCCAGATCCTGCCAGCTTTGCCACACTTCCAAAGGAGGAATGCTTCGATGCAGCTGCTCGGAACCTCCTTCCAGGGAGCAAGATGGACAGCCACGATAGTTTAGCACCTCATGTCCAAGCATCCGTTTCGCGTCTGTCAAGATTTTCGCCAAGTTCCCTAAATCGGAGCTGCGGGTGAGGACCTGAAGGAGCTTTCCATCTATGGCTTCTGCGTCCGCGGCTCGTAGCACATTCGGTCCACCATGTCAAGTGTCACGCCGGGTGCTGTGTGGCAGAGCGCCGGCAGAGCATCCTGGAAACCCCAAGTCCGGGAACTACGATGCCCTCATGCCCTCTTGTAGCGCGGACTGGGCTGTGGTCTCAGTTGACAGAGTTGGAGTGCCGACGTGCCTACGTGCCCACGTGCCTTTGTGACTACGTGATTCGCAACGTGGTGTGCTTGCACGCGTGCGAGCGCGCTTCACGTGCGCAAGTCTCACGGGTGTGGTTCACACCCACAGCGCGCGCATCGTGCTCTCCGCAAAGGCCGACCGCTGCTTCGGGGAGCTCCACTGTCTCAAGGAGATGCTGTGAGTGTTGTAGAGTCTGGTAAAGTCTGGTAAAGTCTGGCTGAGTATGGTAGAGTATGGCAGAGTATGGTAGAGTCACAAGACAGAAGAAGCCAATTGGAAAGCTCTCCCCCCAAATAAATCCCTCAAAAGGAGCTCAGAAGGAACTCTCAGAAGGAAGTCTCCCGCGTCAGCCTTTCTTTCAGGAGTGGCTGGTGGAGCGGCTCCTCGAGGTGAGACGAAGTAGCACAGAAAAAGAGAACGCAGAGAATTGATAGAAGAAGCACTGAAAAATGTACTGGTAAGGAAGGGAAGAAGAACAAAAAGAGAGAAGCTGAGTTGAGAGTTTGAGAGGAGACCCTGTTTTGCCAACTGCTCCTGAGCAGGATGGGCAGCTTCGCTGTGGCCCAGGCCTTTGTACCGGTTCCGGGATCCCCAGACCGACTAGACCGACTGGAGCTTGAAGCGAGATGTGTACTAACAGATTGATTCGGGTTGTAGCCCGAACACGGCAACTCAAGATCTCACGACTCATCTGCCGTGACTCGGTCTTTACTGCAACACATGAAGATCAAATGAAGATCAAACGAAGATCAAGTCGCTCAGATAATCTTCCAGTGCAGGCCCATCCGAGGCGGCCTGGCCCAACCTGGGGGAAGGGGACCTCTGTGCCGAAGAGGCGACGGTGGACATGTCAACAGGGATCAGGGGAAGCCAAGTGACCTCATCCTCCCCTCAGGCAGGACACATCAGGACACATCAGAACACCCAGATAAAGTCCACTGAAATGTTGTCCCAAACTGCCACCCGCATTCTCTCTTGGCCTGCTTGTCTTGAACTTGTCTTGAACTTTTTCCTCAGATCCAGGAGTCGGCGGAGGACAAGGCCCTCCGCACAGCCAAGCTCTGCGGCCGCCTTGCAGCAAGCGCTGGCTCCCAGCATCTCTGGAGAGCTGCCACTGCCACCTCCTCTCGTGGCGTTTCATGGTGTTTCGGGTCCAGTCCGGCGATCTCAAAAGCCCATGCGAGCGAGTGCTGCGTGATGCACGTTTCTTTCAAAGGCCTCAGCCCGGATGTCGAGGCGGCAGTCAAGGAGGAGGTCCAGTTCATAGTTCATGGCGGGGGTCTTCTAGTCTTCTCCCTTTTTTTCCAAAGCCCGCTTCGCTTTTTGCTTACCATTCACCAAGTCAGTGCAACTTTTACGAGTGAAGTAAAGGCCCCATGCGACCCAGAGCAAGAGAGTAGCTTAGCCGGTTCGCTTGTGCTCAGCGAAGCAAAGGAGCAAGCGGGGATGTTCAGTGCATATCCGACTTAGGTGCTGCAGCTGCTGCAGCGTGCGCAGCCAAGGGCCGAAGACCTGGGCTGGGAGGCGAAAGCAACATGATAAGGGCCACGAGGAGAACCAGGAGCAGAGGAGCAGAGAGCGAAAGGAGCGCAAAGAAGCGGCTTTGGTGACTCTTGGGTTCGGTTTCTCAAGGGGTATGTCATTATGTCGGGCCTGCGCAAGGCTCCCGGCGATGTCACGCAGCGGTTTGGACAGCTGCAGGCATGCCAGGGCTGCCGTATCATTGGAGCCAAGCTCTTGACCACCCACTTGTGACATGCGGGCATGGTGCGCTCATGTCAAGGGTTTGCATCTCTCTGTAGCAGCTTCAGGTTGGTTCCTGCATCTCTTGCATCCTGCTGGGGCTTGCAGCTACTCTTGTTTTTTTTTGGTCTTTTGCTTCCCCATTTTCGGCGGCGATGGTTTGCTGTGCCGCTACGACGCGACCTCAGCACACCACGGAAGAGAGCTCGAGACTCAAAAGGCTCAAGACACTTTAAGCCTTAAGACCATTTAAGACCCCTTCAAGAGACAGTTAGACTTCTGGAGGCGTCTGGGGTGGTCTGCCAAGGAACGGAATCAGCGTTCGCGTGGACATGGCCAACACATCCAACACGGATTCAGTCTCTCCAAGGCCGCACAGACGTTGTCGCAGTGCAAAAGCAGTCATGAATTCAGTCATGCATTTGCTCTCATTGCTCTCACACATGCTGCCTGACTGTAAAGGCTGAGCAGCAACCGCCCTGGTCCGGCTCGAACATGTATAGCTTACTTTTGAGGTGTTTGTCTACAGGAACGGGCTCGGCGCCAAACCTTTGACAGCGGGTTTTGGGGCTCTTCGGGGCTCTGCTCGGCCTGCTTTCGAAGCGCAATGCCACCGCCGAATTACCACCCGATATCTCGACTCTGAGGATATGCTTCCCGTTAGACGCTGCGCGCGTGGGCCGCGAATCGTGCCCAATCGCACGGAAAGCTTGTCGCTGTCGCCCTCGCCTCTTGCCGACTTTTGCCCCTAGGGCCCTATAAAAAAAACACCAAGTTCCGCAGCGAATGAACCATTCGACCTGCCTGATCTGCACCTGCAGGTCTGGGCAGACCCTCATCCTTGGCCGCATGCTTGGGATTTGATGCTCGAGGATGCTAGAGCCATGCAAAGCCACACAAGCTTAAATGGCCTGTCTGAAACAGGACATCTCAGCTCGAAGCTTCCTCAACTCTTGAACTCCAAACCTTAAACCCTCGGCCCATGAAGCCCGAAAGCCGGACTTGTATCACATGATGGCTTACGTAGCGCTTCGTACCAAGGAAACGAGACTCCCACACTGCAATTTACGGAGCGCTTAGATCTAGAAGGCAAGGCTGGAGGCGGGGCGGGTCCTGGCACGGCTGCACAGGCTGCAAAGGCTGCACAGGCTGCGCAGGCTGCACAGGCTGCACAGGCTGAACAGGCTGCACACTCCCCACTTTTCCTTGTGCTGAGCACGGAGTCAAATCTTCAGTCGCCAGGCCTGCTGCCAGAGCACAGCGGCACCGTCGCGAAGACGTGCGCCGACTCTGATGAGGGGGAGGCCTCATTCCTCCACGTTTTTCAGTCCCTCAGAAGTTTCGGTGGAGAGCAGGGAGTTCGGACAAAGTTGACCCGCCGTAGTGCCGATTGCGGGCCATCGCAGGTCTGCAGGAAATGCACAACTTACAAGTGATGAGGCTTAACGCATCTTAACGCCTAAGTTTGACGAATAGTTGGTTGTAGGTTTCATTTTACTGCGTCGGCAATGAGTGGAGCACATGCTGGACAAGAGGTTTAGGCTCTAAAACGGTTTGCGACGTGGGGTTTGTAGGGCTTTGAAAACCGTTGTCGGCGCGGAGGGCTTTGGGGTTTGAGCTTAAGGCAACGTCTGGAGTTGGTTCACGTGTCGGTGTTTCAGGGTCGCTTTTGGCTTCGCGGGTGAATGCAGTTCACGTATGCCGCTGTGGCCGCTGTGGTTTTTCTGGGCATCTCTCCTAGCCGGATTGCGGGCTCCCATCATGGGCTTGCGCAGGGCGATGACGATGTCGGGGTAGCCTTTGGAAAGACGCTCACGGACTCGGGCTTAGGACGTTGGGGGGCTCAAGCTCTCGTTTCGAGCCCTCCTCATCTTTTCTTACTTTTTTAAGTTTGCTTTTTGAGGAGAGCACTGCGGCCCCGACTGAGTCTTCGCCTTTGGGTTCGCCTCTCAGGGCCATCTCTGCAGAGATCCTCATGCGCTGTCACGTGCGCATGTGTGCGCAGAGGTTCAGAAATGGAACAAGAAGAGCCCCGCCAGCTACTACTGCTGCTGTCCAGTATCCTTTCTGCGCTTGGCACAAGAAGGGTCTCTGTCGTTCTCTCTCTCTCTCTGGTTCTCTGTCCCTCCTTCTGTCGCTCTTCCCATCTCTTCCCTCAACGTGAGGTCGCCGTGTTGAGGCCACTTTGAGGCGAGGACAAGGGCCGCTGGCATTGGACGAGTGTGAGTGTGAGAGTGCGTGTGTGAGTGTGTGTGTGTGTGTGCGCGCACTTGCAGCATACTTTCAGGTGTGCCGTTTGCTTCCCGCGCTCTTCACTCTCCCTCCTGCCGCTTTTGCTCTTGAGACCCTCGTGGCTTTTCACGATTGTGTTGAATTCTGAATGTGACTTGTTGCCAGCTGATTTCTTCACCGCCAGCTGTGTGGTGTGCAGGGCAACGGTCCAGCTCCTGGAGCCGGCCAAGGTTAAGAAGGCCAAGGAGGATCAGGATGCCAAGGCTAAAGCCAAGGCCGTCCCGCTTGGTCCAGCCAAATCCTGCATCCTGTGAGAGTATCCGAGTGCCAGCCGAAGAAGAAGAATCCAGCAGAGAATCTCGCAAGTATCCGGGAGGGTCCTGGAGAATCCCAGGCTTATTTACACTTTCTGGCCGGAGATTAGGTAGGGGAGCTCAAACTTTGGACACAAGCACGCAGAGTATAGCTACAAGTCAAAGGATCGGGGTCAACCGTTGTTTTGGCGGGAGCTCGCACTTCGGGCAAAATTCGCAACCACGTTGCGAGCTTTCATAAGAAGGACTCTGGAGAAGAGAAGATGGCCTTGATGCTCAAACATTATGAAGCAAATTGAGAAGTACCTTTCAAGCCTTCTTCAACAGCGTTGCTTTCGCAAACGCCCCGAAAAGAAAGGGACCTTGGGTGTCTTCAACACCCATGCTTTGAGAACGTGGGAAAGATGGAGAAGATGACCTAAATTGCCTGCAATCAGGAAGCAGAGAAGATGACCAAGATAACCTTAGATGCTGTCACTACACGGAAGATTGCCTTCAGCACCCGGGCCCGCTGACATCAATCGAGTTCTGCCTCCCTCTCCCTTC